TCAGAAATGAGGGGAAATCAAGTTATTTCATAAAACACATTTCAAATGTATAGAACATTAAACAGTCTCTAATGTCTCCATGTTTATTCGTGTGTTAACCATAATAGCCAAATAAAAACAGAATGACTTATAATATATGTATGTTACATATGGGAACATTTGGATTTAAATCAGAAACTTTCTTATTAAATGTTCATGCAATCAATGCTACTTTCAGTACCAGACCGTTTTTTAACCCTTAACACAAATGTCACTTTATAGAAAGCCTGCAATATAAGCAGAGATGAAACAGGAGTGTGATTCTTACTAAAACACAGTCCACACCAAGAAAAAAAACCGTGCCACATAATAATAAGTCACTAAACATCATGTTATTTTGAGATGACTGACAGTGATTGGCAGCATGTGAAGGATGAGGGTCACAGTGTTGTCCACAGCTGTGTCCAGCCTTCTGACGGACCACCACTCATTCTGTGTGTTGTGTGATATCAGGTCAGATAGCTACCAACATGTTCCAAAATACAAAACTTCTCTGTAATTATATTATGACTTATTAAGAACTTTTGATCCAGTTTGATCCACATTCAATCTGGATATTATCAGAGAAACCAGCTGAGCAGAGGTAGCAGGTCTGTTGCAGCCATCATCATGAGGCAGACAAACTGCACACTCACTTTGAACTGCCTTATTTAGTGTTGTCATCAGTCTGTGACCCTGTCTGTTGATTGAAAAAGAGGTTTTGGCCCAGTTGAATTGCGGGTGAAGAAAAAAGAGCAACTTTTGTTCTGTCAAAGGGATTCAGTGTTACATGTGTGAAACGCCTTCCCTCCCATCCTTGAAACTGATCGGATCATCTTGTCTGATTTACTATTTTTGTACATAATTAATATGTTAGCAGAACCATAAACAAGTCAGTGGTCTGTCTGCAGTGTGCCCCCTTTGTAGAGACACGAGAAGGAGCATGTTGTATTCTTCTTTTTCTTATTATATATATATATATATACAGTGAAGGAAATAATAATTTGATCCCCTGCAGATTTTGTAAGTAACTTACAAAGAAATGAACAGTCTGTCATTGTAATGGTAGGTTTATTTGAATAGAGTAAGAATATCAAAAAGAACATCCAGAAATGGACATTATATGAAAGATACAAATATATTTGCATTTGACTTTGGGAAATAAGTATTTGATCCCCTTGCAGAACATGTGTTAGTACTTGGTGGAGAAACCCTTGTTGGACACACAGAGGTCAGACCCTTCTTGAAGCTGGTCTCCAGGTACGCACATCTCAGGAAGGATGTTGGTCCACTCCTCTCTGAAGACCCTCTCCAAACCCTTCAGGTTTTGAGGCTGATGCTTGGCCTCTGGAAGCTTCAGCTCCCTCCACAGATGTTCTATGGGATTAAGGTCCGGAGACTGGCTAGGCCCCTCCCTCACCTGAATGTGCTTCTTCTTTAGCCCCTCCTGTGTTGCCTTGGCCGTATGCTCAGGGTCATTGTCCTGCTGGAAGACCCCTCCATGACCCATGTTCAGAGTCCTGGCTGAGGGAAGGAGGCTATCGGCCAAGATGTTAGGGTACATGGAAAAAAATAGTACTCCTAATATCAATTGGTTACCTGTATAAAAGACACCTGTCCACAGAATCAACCAATCAGATTCCAACCTCTCCACCATGGGCCAGACTAAAGAGCTGTCTAAGGACCTCAGGGACCAGACTGTAGACCTGCACCAGGCTGGGATCGGCTACAAGACCATCAGAGAGCAGCTTGGAGAGAAGGAGACCACTGTTGGTGCCATTATTCAGGACTGGAAGAAAGACTAAATGAGCATCAGTCGCCCTCGCGAGGGCTGGGGCTCCACACAAGATCTGGCCCCGTGGGGTTTGATGATCATGAGAAAGGTGAGGGGTCAGAACTACACGGAGGAACTTGCTAATGATCTCAAGGAAGCTGGGACCACAGTCACCAAGAACACTATTGGTAACACACTACACCATAATGGATCAAACCCTGCAGCGCCTGAAGGCCCCCTGCTCAAGAACAACATGAGAGGTCGTCTGAAGTTTGACAACGAACATCTGAATATTCAGAGAAGGCTTGGGAGAAGAGGATGTGGTCAGATGAGACCAACATCGAGATCTTTGGCATCAACTGGACACGCCGTGTTGGAGGAAGAGAGATGCTGAGTATCACCCCAGAACACCATCCGTCAGCATGGAGGTGGAAACATTCTGCTTTGGGGTGTTTCTCTGCTAAGGGGACAGGACCACTTCCCTGCATCAAGGAGACGATGGACGGGGCCATGTACCCTAACATCTTGGCCGATAGCCTCCTTCCCTCAGACAGGACACTGAAAATGGGTCATGGAGGGGTCTTCCAGCAGGACAATGACCCTGAGCATACGGCCAAGGCAACACAGGAGGGGCTAAAGAAGAAGCACATTGACATTGAGGTAATGGAGGGGCCTAGCCAGTCTCTTTTTGATATTCTTACTCTCACT